CCTAACCCCTCTAATTTCATGTCTTTGGGCTGTGGGAGGAAGCTGGAGTACTTGCAGAGAACCCGCACAAATACAGGACGTACAAACTCTACACAGAAAGGCCCTGGCCAGATGGTGCAGTCGAACGTTGCTGTGAGGCAACAGTACTAACTACTGCACCACTGTGTGCTGCCTAGGACTTAATAATGACGCCTTAAAAAATATGTAATTACATGTCAGCAACTCAGTGCATTTAAGCACAGAGACATAGTCAAGATAACCTGCAAATTGAGCAACAAACTGAAGAAGAAAAGTGATTTTAGTGACTTTCAATGTGGCATTCTTCTTGGTGCCAGATGGGCTGCTCTGAGTATTTCAGAAACTGCTGATCTGCTGGGATTTTCCCACTCAACTAACTCTAGGGTTTATAGAGAGCAGTCTAAAAAAAAGAAAATATCCAGTCTGTGGCAGTTCTGTAGGCTTGTTGATGCTAGAGGTCAGATGAGGATGACCAGATTCAGATTGCTTCAAGCTGATAGGAAGGCAACAGTAACTCAGACAACTGAACGTTACAACCAAAGTATGCAGAAGATAATCTCTGAACGTATAACCCTGACACAAATGGGCTTTGGCAGCAGAAGACCACGCTGGGTGCCACTAAAAATTTACACAGGATCTTTAAAACTGGACTGAAGACTGAACCCTCCCCCAACAAAACAAAAAACATTGCTTGTTGGATGAGTCTGTTTTGTGACATACAGGTAGTATTTGACCTAAACAACATGAAAGCATGGCTTCATCCTACCTTGTTTAAATGGTTTGTACTGGTAGTTGAGGTGTAATATGGTGGGGGATACTGAAGATACATAGCATAATGTATAATCAGGGATCATGCCTTAGAAAAATGGGACTTTTGCATCTATATTGCACATTTTACTCCACTACATTCAAGTCTTTTACTATTTGTAATCCGTGGCTGATTTGGTTATGTCTTATTCCAATAAATCAACACTCACCTTCTTGTTTTAATAACAGCCTCATCAGTGATAATGGGTAACCAGAATTACAACACAGGAGATTTATATAAATTATATAAAGATTTAACATCTTTCTTGAGCAAACAACAAACAAACAGCTCAACAGTAGTCCAATAAAATTAATTAAACCTAAAATATGTTTTTCAATTGTAAAATACTTAAGAGCAGGAACTAAACACCCTTAAGCACTGATTTGTTGGAGCACATCTAACACGGTTTAATAGGTTGTTGAACACAAAAAGTATGAGCTTCTCCAACAGTTTTAATGGAAACCTGGAATATAACCAGGCAGCTTGATCTAGATGACCTAAGAGGTCAAGCAGGTTTGCAGCTTAGGTGCACGTCAGGGAAATACTTTGATGCCAGATCATGTGTGAGGTGTTAAAAACAAAAATTTAAAATCTACTCTAAACAAAACTAAAAAAGTTAAATACTACTGTTAAAAAAAACAAAACTAAATATACATTCACCAATGGTTAGCACTGTTGCCACACAGCAAGAAGGTCCTGAGTTCAATTCCACCATCTGGCCGGGGTCTGTGTGGAGTTTGCATGTTCTCCCCGTGATTGTGTGGGTTCTCTCCAGGTACTCTGGCTTCCTCCCACAGTCCAAAGACATGCAGTTAGTGGCGTTAGGTTAATTGGAAACACTAAATTGCCCATATATGTGAATGCGGGAGTAAATGTGAGTGCGAATGTTTGTCTCTGTCTATGTGTTAGCCCTGTGATAGACTGGAGACCTGTCCAGGGTGAACCCTGCCTCTTGCCCAAAGACAGCTGGGATATGCTTCAGCGCCCCCCCGTGACCTTAAAAAGGATAAGTGGAAGCGATAGATGAATGAACATTCATCAAGTAAACATGATGTTGAATAAAATAAAAATATTTTGGAAATGTCCTTAATTTTACTCTTTTGCAATGTTCTGAACTCCAATTAGAAAAAGACTAACAAACTAACATAAATAAATGAAACGAATAGAAACATTTAAAAAATAAAATAAAATCTTAATGTGAATAAATGGGAAAAAAACCAACGTAAAATATGAAAATAATAACTGTGATAAACTGCTATAGTTCAGCGTGCTCACTATGTTATATACTGTAACAACAATAACGGGTACATGAAAAATGAAAACATTACTGGCTACATTTGAAGATGTTGCAATACTAACATTGTTCGCGATTGCGCTACTAGTGCATTATTTCCTTTGTACATAGTTAACAAGCCCCGCTAAACGCAGGGCATCAAAAAATTGGGTGAAACTCTTATTGTTCCTCTCCACGGAAATCTTTAGTAAAAGGCGAAAGATTTATACGATCTGAAGAGAAACAAGAGTGTACTAAATTACAGCAACACCGCAACAGGACCCCATTGACAACAAAGCCGTGTAAAGTGACGGTTCACTGGGAAAGAGCAGTTATAAATGACAACAAAGACCACTCATTGTCACACAATGCAGTAGTGAATAAAACAATATAAATGCACAGGGTAAGACTTTTAATGTGAACGCTGTAAGTTTATTCACATTAGATTAACCGTCAACAGTAAGCGCAATGCATGATGGGATTCCGTGGGGGTTTTCCGGGTTGTTAAAAAGTTAAAATCTAACGCAGAGCTCTTATTTATTCGCGTAAGATTTTTTCCTATAATTGTTTTTACCTCGCAAAGCATGGTGAAGCATTGCGCTAATGTTTTTGAACGCTTTTAAATGTTTAACCGTATCATTTATTTTCGGAAGTCACGCCCCGTGTAAACGTAACCGTCGTGACGTCACGAATTTGTTCCTTATTCCACATTTCAAAGCTTTAGCTTTAGCTGTGTTGCCGCCATGTTGACTTTCGGATCCAGAACTGATGGGTTAAAGGGTGGAGCGTAAAGTTATCAGGTAACACACATACGTGTCTGCTAATGTGTGGGAAGTCACAGATTCGTTAAAGACCAGAATTTCACTCACCAAAAACTCAAGCACAAACTTCTCGGATGCTCTGTGCCACACACACACAGAAACGTAGTTAAAACTGCTCCCACAGCCTATACAGTGAAAAGGTCCACTTTAACAAGGCCATGTATCAGGACACCTGTCAGTCAACCCTGACACGCCCCTACTCAGTCACCGCCCCACTCGGAGCAGTGATGTAGGGGGAAATCTGTAAAGCTGAACTCACAATTATGGAGACCACATCCCATTTTTGGGGACTGATTTTTCTATTGATTTTTTTTTTAAATATAAAAGGGACAATGCACACTAGTTAATATGAGCAATTAGGATTTAGCCTAAGCTGCCCATCTGAAGTAATGCATTAAAAGCCAGTGCAGAATAAAATTAACTGTCAATAATAGCTCAATAACCGCTGAAATAATAAATAAATAAATAAATAAATAGACGAACAAACAATGTGAAACATCAAATCAAACCAATCACATGGCAGCAACTCAGTGCATTTAGGCATGTGGATGTATTCAAGATGAGCTGCTGAAGTTCAAACTGAGCATCAGAACGGGGGGGGGGGGCGAAGTGATGTTGGTGTCTTTAAACTTTTAACTTGATTGTTGGTGTCAGATGGGCTCGTTGCAGTGTCTCAGAAACTGCTGATCTACTCGAAGTGTCCACGGTTTATAGAGAAAGCTGTGAAAAGGAATTAAAATAAATAAATAAGTAAAACAAGTGGCTTGATGATTCCAGAAATCAGAGGAGAATGTGCCAGGTGACAGAAGGGTGGCAGTATATGCAGAACAGAACATGTCAAATCTTAAAGCAGATGTGCTACAGCAGCAGAGGCCCACAGGGGGTGCCACTGCTTTCTGGAACTGGAGAGTGCACAATGCTATCATTTCAACATGGACCAAAATCTCCAAGGAATGTTTCCATCACTGTGTTGAATCTTTACCATAAAGAATTAAAGTAGCACTGAAGGCCAGAGTACAACTCAATACTAGTAAAGTATACCCAACATAATATTTGTATGAAATAAGAAAAAAAATAATGAAAAAAGTATTGAAGTACAGTGTCTGTGTGTAGAATTGGGTGACACGGTTAATTTACAAGATACAAAATCATCAATAGGAAAGAAGATAAAAACATCACAACATGCATTTAAAAAAATTATTTAGTTTCACTTGTGACTAAAACAGTGTGATTAAATAAGATACATTCAACAAAACATAAAAAAACCCCCACTCACCTAATTATTATTATGTTAAAACAGTAACGCTACGTTATATTACTGCAATACTGATATATAGTACAAAGTACTATATATCAGTATTGTATAGTAAAGTATATCAGTATTATATAGTAAAAACTCCTTTGTCCCACACGCCATCAGACTGTTTAACTCCTCTCTGGAGGGGAGAGGGAGGGGAAACAGGAGGACAAAGGAGGGGGGAACAACTAAGCTGTAGTGCCTCTTCACCTCACTGTGCAATACCTTTGTGCAATACTTTTGTAAATAGTCAACGGTGCAAATAGACCTCAATACTTGAAATGTGCAATTCACTTGTATTTTTATTTTTATTCCTATTTATTCTATTTATCCCCCTTCGTATATTTTATTTATATTTGTCTCTGTATTTATATATATATGTGTGTGTATATATATATAATATTCTGTAACTGTAACTTCTGTTGGTGCTGTGCTTTTGGAAACCGAATTTCCCAGAGGAACCCACCCGAGGGATTAATAAAGTTCTATCTTATCTTATCTTATCTTATCTTATCTTATCTTATCTTATCTTATCTTATCTTATCTTATCTTATCTTAAAGTAAGTCAAAGGCGTACTAAAGTACAGCACTTGGATAAAGTCCTGCTCTGAAAAAGCTGCAGGTGGTGCTGTTTACTGCAGGAGCTCATCTCAAAGCCCATACTGCAACTGTCTGAGATAGATACAGATTGGAGAAACAATTTAACCATCCACGGGCCAAAATAAACAATTTATAGCCTTTATATCTCATCTGTAGTAGTTTTAACAGTCAAAAAACATCACATCACTTCATTTAAGTTTAATACCAGCAGCCACATCCTGGCTACTTTTAATACTTTACATATACATTCTTTTACAGAAACGAATTGACAATCACCAAAGCATTAAAACTAAATAATACATTATTACTACATTACATGCCTAATAACACGTGTAATCTGCATTTTAAAGGAGTGGTGTTGACTGTTGGATTGTTATTTGTAAGAACTGGTAGGCCTTGCATGTGCACCCAGAATCCATTACTATGTGTGCAGATAGCATTATTTAATCCTGTCATACCTATTGAGTTGTCTCATTATGTTCTATTGAAGCCTTGTCCTTATTTTTATAGATCGAGGCCAGAGTAACCCAAGCTTAAAGTGTTCATTAAGGTATTTTGTCACTTAGAAATAAAAATTAGGTAAGAGATTAAGTGGCTGTTAACCACAGGTTGCTTAGTTTATGTAAAAATGTAGTTTGTTGTTGTTTTGGTTTATGTGTTGAAATTGTTTTATGTGTATGTTTATGTGCTGTATATGAGTATATACTTATATATAGTTAAACATGTATGGATCATTCTGAATAAATTCTGAATATTGATTTGTAAGAAATGAAATTTGAATACGGGGCTAGAAACAGAAAAAGTGTAAATTTCATCCTAGATCGCACTGACTTACTCAAATGTGTGGTTATAATACCGGATCTTAACTGGAAGAGAACAGAATCAACTTGATTGTGGAGAAGATGTTTATGGTGCTGTTAAACAATGCTCTTATCTGAACCTTATCTGTTTGACTTGTAATAATCGGTAAATAACAGTCTCTTCCTTATCCCATTGCTTTTATTCTTGCCGTTGCAGCATTGCTGCAGATCTTACAGTCCTGGGTTTACTTACACTCCCTGGTACAGATTTAATATTTTGCTGTTGTGAAGGTTTTTCCATGTGTTCTTCTCTTGAATGTAGTCGTGGTTGGAATAGAAAATGACCCTGGTTTTAACATACTTGTCATAATAGTAGTTGGAGTATTTCTTAAATTCTTCACTCATGAATCCGTATGCATCCACCTGAAGATGAAGTAGTGAGAAATAAAAAGGGGACTGAATTACACTGAAATAATAAATGATAAAAATGACATAACTGCTTTTGGAATTAGTAAAACACCTGGGGAGCCACTTTAACAAGCCCAGTTTATTAGTTTATCTTTAACTCCTTCTTTAACAGCAACAGCTAATGTTAAATAAAAATATAAATATACCTTTATCTTCACTATCTTCTCTAATGATAATTATTACTTTTATCATTAGAGAAGTAACATATTAAAGGGAGAACAATTATGGAAATTCAAATTTTCACGATTTCAAGTTGCAAGCAGATGTTACGTGAGCTATCACTGCTTTCCACCTCGCCTAGACAGCATAAAGCTGGTGCAAATGTATTTAGGCTGCATTTGAACCCAGGAGCTTCTTGCTGTGAGGCAACAGTGCAAATCACGGTGCAATCTGAGGATATCCTAGAGCTTTAAATATGCAGTTTATGAAATACAGTCGCTTGCAAAAGTATTTGGCCCCCTTGAACTTTTCCACATTTTGTCACATTACAGCCACAAACATGAATCAATTTTATTGGAATTCCACGTGAAAGACCAATACAAAGTGGTGCACACGTGAGAAGTGGAACGAAAATCATACATGATTCCAAACATTTGTTTACAAACATATAACTGAAAAGTGGGGTGTGTGTAATTATTCATCCCCCTGAGTCAAAACTTTGTAGAACCACCTTTTGCTGCAATTACAGCTGCCAGTCTTTTAGGGTTTGTCTCTACCAGCTTTGCACATCTAGAGACTGAAATCTTTGCCCATTCTTCTTTGCAAAACAGCTCCAGCTCAGTCAGATTAGAGGGACAGCGTTTGTGAACAGCAGTTTTCAGATCTTGCCACAGATTCTCGATTGGATTTAGATCTGGACTTTGACTGGGCCGTTCTAACACATGGATATGTTTAGTTTTAAACCATTCCATTGTTGCCCTGGCTTTATGTTCAGGGTCATTGTCCTGCTGGAAGGTGAACCTCCGCCCCAGTCTCAAGTCTTTTGCAGACTCCAAGAGGTTTTCTTTCAAGATTGCCCTGTATTTGGCTCCATCCATCTTCCCATCAACTCTGACCAGCTTCCCTGTCCCTGCTGAAGAGAAGCACCCCCAGAGCATGATGCTGCCACCACCATATTTGACAGTGGGGATGGTGTGTTCAGAGTGATGTGCAGTGTTAGTTTTCCGCCACACATAGCGTTTTGCATTTTGGCCAGTGGCAAACTGCAAACGGGACTTCTTATGGTTTTCTGTTAACAATGGCTTTCTTCTTGCCACTCTTACATAAAGGCCGACTTTGTGCAGTGCACGACTAATAGCTGTCCTATGGACAGATTCCCCCACCTGAGCTGTAGATCTCTGCAGCTCGCTCAGAGTCACCATGGGCCTCTTGGCTGCATTTCTGATCAGCGCTCTCCTTGTTCGGCCTGTGAGTTTAGGTGGACGGCCTTGTCTTGGTAGTTGTGCCATACTCCTTCCATTTTGGAATAATCGCTTGAATTCGCTTAAATTTCTCAATAACTTTATCCCTGACCTGTCTGGTGTGTTCTTTGGACTTCATGGTGTTGTTGCTCCCAATATTCTCTTAGACAACCTCTGAGGCCGTCACAGAGCAGCTGTATTTGTACTGACATTAGATTACACACAGGTGCACTCTATTTAGTCATTAGCACTCATCAGGCAATGTTTATGGGCAGCTGACTGCACTCAGACCAAAGGGGGCTGAATAATTACGCACACCCCACTTTGCAGTTATTTATTTGTAAACAATGTTTGGAATCATGTATGATTTTCGTTCCACTTCTCACGTGTACACCGCTTTGTACTGGTCTTTCACGTGGAATTCCAATAAAATTGATTCATGTTTGTGGCTGTAATGTGACAAAATGTGGAAAAGTTCAAGGGGGCCGAATACTTTTGCAAGCCACTGTATCCCTTAGCATTTCTATTCTTTGAATGTTTGCTTTGTCTCCTGTCCTGTCTTTCCATCTCTGAGTGAAGTTCTCACATTCTTTGCTGCCCTTGAGAAATAAAGAAACTGTACCTTTAACTAGCACTGATCACTGTGTGATAAGTCTTGGTTTTTGTTTTACTCTGAATTTTGGTCCATCTTTGAACCCTAACACAATTAGCCTGTTGTGAGAATGTAAAAAAGAAAAATCACCCCAAAAAAGGCCTTAAAAAAAGAAAACTCTTGACAATAGTAACACATCAGACTTTGGCTAACAGCTAATAAAAAGTGTCCAAAAAAAAAAGAAAGCTGTTAAGAGAAACTGCCAATAATTCAAAGTAAATGATAAAGTTACCATTGTGAAATTTATATAAATGCATGAAGCTCTTGAGTTGGGTCATGTTATAGACACTTGATGAATCTGTTTGACAAGTTTATTAAATAGCTGTGTAAAACAAGGTGTGACATCAGTTTTATCGATGCTGTCCAGCTGGTCTGTCTTCACACATTGGAACAGTTCAATAAAACTGGTGACACACCTTATTTTACAGTTTTAATTTAAACATCTTATCTTATTTTCCTAGGAGGGTACACAAAAAGTCAGTGTTCCTTCAGCTTATCCCTGACAGTGGTTCAGAGCTTTAATACAACTTTATTATATGATTGCTGGGAAGGTCTTTCCACGTTGAAATATGCTGCTAAAACAGTAATAAGATAGTTTGACGTTAATATGCTTTTAATACAAAGTTAATGTACACATGGTGTGTTGCATTCTTCCAAAGGTGTGGTTAGAAGTAGTTGTAATGTTAAGAAGTTAAAATCAAGTGTTAACTCACTGTGTCACAGGTGTGCAGAGCCAGGAAGAGAGTGAATGCTCCGTTGGTTGGTCTGACCCTCGCCCAGTATCTCTTATTCAGATTGGGTGACTTCAAGAACCTGTAATGCAATGATATAATAGGTTGTAGGACTGGCCTTAGCAACAATAACTTGAAGTAATAATTATTTTCTGTATTACTAACGGTCTCTCACTTTGTTGTGGAAGAATGTTTCTGTACAACATTGCTTAAGTTCAATATTTGTAGGCATTTGTTTATGCACAGGTGTCTTAATTTCTCACCTCACATTTCCATTGAGTTGTGGTCTGGACTTTGAATGGGACATTGCAGCACCTTGATTCCACAGCAATTCTGTTGTACGCTTGCTGCTTGATTTGGAATCATTGTCCTAGTAAATGACTCAGTTTGGCTGGCTTTAGTTGTTCTACAGGCGGCCTCACATTTGGCTGTAGAACACTTTGATATACAGACAAGTGTATGTTTAACTCTTCGACTATAAAATGTCCATTTGCTATGGCTAGAAAACAAGTCCAACTCATCATCTTTCCTCTCGCACTGTGGTTTCAGTCAATATGAGGCGTTTGAGCTGATATGCTGTATTTAAATGTGGTGCTGTGCATTATGGGCAGTCATTTCCACTTTGGGCTTATCTGTCCAAAGGACATTGTTCTAGAAGTCCTGCGGTTTGTTCAGATAGAACTCTTCAAACCTAAACAGTGCTGCATTTCTTTTTTAGAGAGTAGAGGCTTTTTCATTTTCCTCATTGTAATGTCATGATCTTTAACAATTAACATGCTAACTAAGACTGTTAGAATCTAAGGTGTAGCTATTGCGGTTTTTGCAATTTCTTTGACCATCACACACCCACTGTTGGGAAGACTGTAGCATGGTGTTAGCACACATCTGCATGGTCTGGAGCAATGACTGCAGAAAACTTCCCCTTGATTAGCAGAACCTGGCTGCTACTCACTCAATGTAAGCAGAAAGAACTGCAAAATGTCTGTTTGTATTTGTATACATATTGTTACAATGGGAAAAGTTAACTTGGACTATGCATAAAATCTGTACTTCAATATTGTTTGGATCATTTGATTAAAAAAAAATAATCAAACATTATGGACCTTCAACTTATTTAACAACTTTTATCAACATTTTTTTTTAATTTAACTTAACAACTTTTAATATTGTAATTAAGAGAAGGCTTTAAATAATTTAAGGCTTTAAATAAAATTAAAAAAAAAAATAGAATAAATAGTCTGCACTGTTTAAAAATAAATGTTCTGGAGTGGATGGTGAAAGAAGGCTGACCTGTTCCGCACATATCGGAGGAAATCCTGATGCAGAACGTAGAAGCGGCTCTCGTTGTACTGCCCTGAATAGTAGGTCCTTGGCCTGGGGGGGTTGAACAATAGGAGTAATGAAAGGATGATGAGATGTTTTAGTTTCTCAAATGCTATTAAATTTATTTGCTGGAGTGAACAGCTGGAAACATATGCTTATGTGCCTGCAGTGCATTTTAGACCAAAAAACTTTTACCTGAATATCAGTCTGAGTGTGCATGTATGACACAAAATTTAGATGGTCTGCAGAACAGCCGTGTAGTTATTAAAAAAAAGTGTGCATTTACTTAAGTGAAAGAAAAGTTTACACTTCTCCGTAGTAAACTATCTCAATTAATTGTCTGCAAATGAAATTTAATTGACATAAACAATTCTGCTTTAAAGAGTCTTTTAAATTCAAGTGGCAATACACGTCTTACGGTTTGACTTATCAGTATAAAGTAAATGTTGATTATTCCCCTAAAAGCTCACTTTCACCAAAATGAAGGCTTGATTTGCACAAACAGAAAGCAGATGTTTCTCAACAGTAACTGAACCGGCAAAATACTTAAAAAGTAAAAAAGCAAAGCAAAAAAGAAATGAAGTGGCTTATGGTGCTTTTCTTATCTGACCATCACTCAAACAATTTTCACAAATGTTTATATAGCACTTTACATGCATGTCTATTTCACCTACAATAAGACTAATTTAGAATCACCATCAACAGAATGCATGTTTTTGGACTGAGGGAACAGCAAGGGAATAACCACATGAGCACACAGAGAACACGGAAACTCCACAGAGGAAGGTCCCAGAAAGTTGTTTGAGCAAGAGATAAATGATTTGTAAAATTATTATTAAATTTAAGGCAAAACACTTATTACAAAGTTCTATTTTTTAAATGTACAGTTTTAATAGACACTTAATAAAATGTATGTTATAGCATTTGAATAAAAATGTCACAGATTCTGAATTTATTTTAATTTAACACCACAAAAAGCCATAAATACTGCAGCAGCACATAACATTTAGTTGATACTCACAGTCTGTTGCGGTATGGACCAGCAGAGACCTTTTCTCCTTTGAGAAGGCCCTCAAGCCATTGGTAATCCCTCATCCCCTCAGGAATCATCACATATTTTATACCCTGCCAGAAGGAAAATGAGGACAGAGAAGCCATCTTTACTCTAGTGAAATAAAACAAAAATCAAAGGCCAATGAAAAGCTTCATTACCTCATCATGAGGAGCAGCTTTGTATCCGTGTTTTTTAAGGATGTAACGAGATGAAGTGATGGAGTGGGCTGTGTGGACATACACCGATGTTTTGTTTCCTACATCTTCTTCAAAGCCCTTGGTGATGGCACCATTCATCCTGCCACACAGGCAGAAGCAGGTGTTGCAGATGTTAAGCTTGGCTTCAAATGTTTAAGCTTAGTAATTTGCTCAGATCAATTGAGAAGCAATCGTTGCTTTCATTTTGGGAGAATGGTTTTCTTGTGGAATCAACCACCTTCAGCAATACCACTGAAGTGTTGGCCCAAAACATTTCAGAACATACTCTTACTGAAACTTAATTCACTTAACACGCTTTCCATTCTGACTCTATGACGACACTGATGTTTGAAAGAGAACAATACATTTTGAAGTTTCTACACCACAAGCAGGTGAGCTATCAGATACAGTACCACATTTTTACTGTCAAAGAATTTGCTGATCAGCAACCGTTCTCATGTTTTTTTTATATCTTTTTTAGCGTTCTTATGTTTTAAAGCTAACTTTAGTAAAAGATACACCTTAATAGTTGATAGTGTTGTTCTGTTTGTCCTTTCCTACCGAAAAACATAATCATGCGCATCAATCTCTACACCCATTCTGGTGAATCAGAATCAAATAGGTTCTAGAAATCAGTGACGATACCCAGCCCTATATGAAAGTCACAGAGAAAGATAAAGCAGGGTATGCTTTACACTGCTTTATCTTTTCTACACTGGGCCTAGTGCCTGTCGAACAAAGCCAAGAGGTTTGCTTGGGGGTTTGTCTTACCGAAAAACGTAATCATGGCCATCGATCTCCACCCCCTTCTTTGAGCCGTTCAGGATTCCTCCAGTACCTACCACAGCACAGCGCACACAACCGTCACCACCGGGTTTTGGGAGGAGCAACGGCTCTTTTGGCTTTGGAATCAACTTCACTGACTTCATCACATCTGCAAACCAAAAGAAAAATTCAAAAATGTGTTTACTCTGAGTGCTGTAGTTCCAGCATAGTAATGTATCCTGTATATGAAAACAATGAAGCAAGATGAAGGCCATAACTCTTATTCATGCATTAACAGCTGTTTCTTCAGCTTTACCTGACTCACCTGCTCATGTTTACTAAAAGGGACGAGAGCTTTCAGTGAGCAAAACTAGAGTAAATTTGTTATGGTCTGTGTGGAGGGAGGCATGAAAGGACCTAAATTGCAGACTAAAACACAGAGGCCAAGCTGAAACTGAAAATGGTAGTTTTATTTGCTCCAGTGTTTAGCAATAAACTAAACTTGGTGATACAAAATAAACTTGTTAGGCTTGGCAAACAGACATATGAGGGAGGATGCAACACTGAACACAGGAAGGACTTAAATACAGACATGAGGTGATCAGGAGAAGTGGCAACACATGAGGAAACAGCTGACACACATGAACATAACGACGTCACAGGGGAAACTTAAAACTAAACTGGGGACCTCTTTCAAAATATAACAGGAAACATAATGAAATGCAGACAAGAACTTAAAGTTCATGTTGTCATGAACTGACCAGAGCTAGAACAAAAGTGCAACAAGAAAACCTGGAGCTCCTGAAGTAGTCCAAAACAAAAGACTATGAAAGGCACTTAGTCTGGGTTGACAAATCAAAAAACAACCTCAAACAAACAAACTTAAGATCTTTTATTTTTTTTTATAGCTGCTCCCCTCATTCCTTGTGAACTCAGCTGTTGCTAACTTCATTGTTTTAGCCCCTTGTCAGCCAATCAGCATTCAACTAACACATGGGGTCATTAATGTAGAGCAACATGCAGCTAGGATTTTGGAGGACTGAAAGTGCTGGTTTGAAACCACTCTCAGAAAGCAAATACACACAGCTGGACACAAGCTTGGTACCATAAATTCACAGCAAGCCTGGGTTTGAATTCAGCCCTGGTCTTTCTGCATAGAGTCTGCATATTGCAGGTGGTAACCTATAGCAACACCATGTGACCCTGAATTGGATAAGCATAGGAAAATGGATAGAGGAACATTGATTTGAGAAGTAGCCTCAAGTCGCCTATTCATGTGCCAAAAAGTTGCTTGAGGATGTGTCATAACAAAAGAAAATAGGTGTGTCACTAAAAGACCTACCGTCGTACTTGAACTCCATAAAACCGAAAGGATTGTTAAAATGTGAGAGCCGATTCCACTCGCTCATGTTGATGTTGTCCTTGTGTAGAAACAAACGTATGTTTGGAAGAAAAGCCTTCTTAAAGTTTTCATCGTCAGAGTTTCGCAGAGACTGGGCACATGCCTGAAAATCATAAAACTATTAAATACAGGAAATTAGCCAAAGACAGAATTTGCTGTGATATAATTATCCAACTCTATTAAATAACATCCTTGAATAATTCAAAACGGGGAGAACCAAATGACAGAAAAAATGTAATAAAGCAAGAGTAAAATAAGTGTTAGCATTAGCCATGTGCCAGATAGTTATTTTTAAACATCTGTATTGGTTTCAGCAGAGAATTTCATAATTGGTGCATCACTGCAGGAAAGAGTGAAGGCAGACATATGCGAAGCCACAAAGGTAGAAAAACAGCTCCACAAAATGAAAATAATGAATTTAAAGGGGGAAACAAGGTACATGTATAGGTCACAAGGAAAACGATTGACTGCTTGGCTGAGCAGAATTCAGTGCTGCCTATACCCAAACACAGAAAAGTTAGGAACTGCATTTATATTACTTCTCTCATATGCTCGTATGCTTACTGTCGGTCTAGGTGGTGCATCCTGGTTATAAACATCATCAAAATCCCACTGAGGAAGCTTTGTGAAATTTATTTTGTAGAGGATAGGCATAGGAGTCTCAGCCATGGCTCCGCGAGTAGGGGTTTTAGATTTTGTCACTGGGTTCATTTTTGTTGAAATAACTTTTGCTATGCCAGCTGTGGTACACACAAAAGGTGGTGCAGATGTCTTTTTGATTTTTCCCAAAAATGTAATGACACTGTCAAGAGAAAAATGTTCCCATTTGTGTCCATTTTTTCCTGAGAAAGTTGTCCTCCTGAATCAGGAATTAGGCAGAAATGCAACAGAGGTAACAAATGACAAACAAATAGCAAAGTACAAATAACAGAACTAGCAAATCAGTTCACAGTTCCCTTTTTAATGATTCTTTATATCAACACAAAATATTAAAAAACAAAGAAAAAAAACCCAACTGACCTTTTTGATAAATGTTCCTGTGACAGAATAAACACCAGAAAACCAACAGTTACAAAAACGAGCAAAGAAAAAATCCTGAACTTTTGGACCGCCATCACTGCTGAGTGAAGGCTTTGCTGTTTAATTAAAAAGAAAAGTATTTTCTCTTTCTTCTGAGATTTGCTCAGAGGTCGAAAAACCACCTGGAGTATTTAACAACTTGATGTGACTGCTGAGAATTCACAAAGACACAAGTGAGATAGCACTAGTTCAAGATGGCAGCCAACCAAACCAGTTGTGCGACTGCTGATTTTCACAAAGACACAAGTAAGAGCACTAGTTCAAGATAGCAGCCAGCCAAACCGGTTGTGTGACTGCTGAGAGTTCACAAAGACACAAGTAAGATGGCACTAGTTTAAGATGACACCCGGTTTGACCGGTTTCGTGCGTGTGCGCATGCGCGTTCAGGTGTGCTACCCATACCACAGCCACTCTAGGTATGTCTTCAGGAGTATGCAGTCGGGGTCCTCAACGTAAAAAGCAACGCTGTGAAAACCCCGTAGATGGGACTGTATTTAAGTTAGAATATCAAGGCGCCGAAGGGTATGTGTATGCCATTAAATATACCGAAGGGGCAGTTGTGCTTAGTGTAGATTGTGGCGAGGGATTGTTTTGGGGGGAACCCCAAGTCATGTCTACTAAAAACTGGAAGCTCTTCCGCACCGTAGTGTGTGCGGACCTGGACAATGTGGGCTTCCCAGAGCTGCTGTATGTTTCCCAGTGGAACAGTGCATCAGGCCCTGAGCTTTACAGGGTTGAGGCTGATTGTTTCAATCGCAACCCTGACGACTTTATTTTTCTCAGTGTATGTGATGACAGGGATAGTCTTATTGCTTCCAGAGGGCTTGAAAACTGGAGGTTAAATCCTTACCCTCTAAACCTCGAAGAGCGCACAAGATAGTTTAACGACTTGTTTTTTATACAGTGGTGCGACTGGAGAGGTTTGTCGCGTCTGTTTAGCCAGATTGATGACGCAATCAAGAGGGACAGACTCAACACGGCGTACGAGAGTATTAGAAAACGCCTTGTTTTTGACGATCTGGCGACTTGTCCGAAGACTGGTTTGCCTGCTACCCTGTGCAAACCTAAAATCATAAGACCTTCCGACAACTAAACAATAAACTGGTAGGTTTAATGTGCGGGTGTGTAGGGTTGCGTGTGTATCTATGTGACAAATTAAGAGCTTGTGGTTTTCATTTTACAGAGCATGACATGCAGTCGTGGGACCTGTCAGAGTCACCATCAACAGCGCTGCTAATCCCGACCCCCCAGACTCCACCACCTTCACCACAATGCTCGCAAGACCCCCTCATATCAGACCTGTGGGAGGAAACTGTAATCGACATCAAACTCGCAACTCTCCACCTGTTGATGTTGGCGTTGAATGAGTTTCTACAAGAGACATGTCACGGATGCCAAACAGGCCACCCCAGTCAGGTGCAACACAGCTGCTTGCAGGAATTGTCTGAGTATTTCTTCGACACCTACTATGATGATGTGATGATAAGGCTCCAGATTGACCGATTCATCCCAGCCATCCGGCTGTTTGTACGCTCATACACTGTAGATGGGACTGGAACACAAATCCGCAGAGTTGCAGAACACATCATGTGTGAACTGAGATCAGAGCGACATATAGTATGCGCCATTAATGACAACATTGCGCATGCTCCGCATGATTGGAAACTACTGGGCTGGGAGACACCTGGTTTAATGTGTCCTGTTCAAGTATCCATTGTCTGTGTTTGTGTATGTGTGAAAATTAAATAAAAAGACGTGTTAACATCAACATCTTAGTCATTTGTGGTTTGTAAATCATGGAAAGCACATTGCATAAAATATATCATGATCCAGCCCATCCTGCGGGGTTGGCCAGTTTAAATAAGCTACGTATAGCGGCAGGGGAGGCATCAGGTGTAACACCTCCACTTTGTCAGGTCAAACATTATTTAGAACAAGACGACACTTACACACTCCATAAACCTGCGAGGATCCACTTCCCCAGAAATAGAGTATTGGTGACAGGGGTCGACAAACAGTTTCAAGCCGATCTGGTTGACATGTGTGAATATGTGGCAGATAATGATAATGTGAGATATCTGCTAACATGTATAGATGTATTCTCAAAATACGCATGGGTTAGATGCCTAACAAACAAGTCAGGGACTGCTGCATCAGCCGCTTTTGAGGATATACTTACTGAGGGAAGGATCCCTATGAAACTAGAAACAGATGAAGGTAAAGAGTTTTATAATACAACCGTTAAACAGCTAAAGAAGCGATATAATGTCAAGCATTTCTCAACAGCTAGCGAGGTTAAATGCAGTATTGTCGAGAGATTCAGTCGTAGCTTCAAGGGTAGAATGTGGAAGTACTTAACATCAGCCAACTCCCGGAGATATGTAGATGTCATACAAGATCTCCCACAAGCATATAACAATGCTTATCACAGATCTATCCAAATGGCTCCGGCAGAGGTGAATAAGGATAATGAGAAGTCGCTGTACAAAACGAGGCCTAAGAGGGACCTGCGCTTTAAATTTAATATTGGTGACACTGTACGAATATCAAAACTGAGAGGAAAGTTTCGAAAAGGATACGAGCAGACCTACACCAATGAGATTTTCACAGTCAAGGAACGTATAGGGAGACAGCCCCCAGTGTACAGACTAGCGGATCTAGCAGGAGAGGTATTGAAAGGGTCATTTTATGAGACTGAGGTACAACGTGTGGTTGTTGATGAAAACAAAACATTTAAAATTGAAAACATATTGGCTAGAAAAAAAGTGGGTCGGAAAAAGCAGGTGCTAGTGAAATGGCTAGGATGGCCCAACAGCTTTAATTCGTGGATTCCAGAAAAAGACATTGTTGAGGCGTAATTAACTCAGATGACGCGGCTCTACACACATTCATTCAACACTGAGCATAGACTGAGAAAGCATGAATAAAAAGAACAACAATGCAGGCTTCTATGTAAGCCTCTTCTCGAATGCTTCAGCACATGTTCACCCGGGTAATAAGATATCTAATTTTAGAACAAAGCTAGCAAAACCTATTGTTTTGGATCAGCCGTATGAGGTAGCTGTCATAGAGATACAGTACCCACGCACTTGGTTGTCTTTTCCACAATCAGATTCGCAAGTGGAAATTCATGACCCAGTCAAAGATGGAACCATAGCCGTAACTACGATCGAGCTGTCTGTGGGTCATTATACCTTTGTGGAGCAAATAATAAAAGAATTTAATTTGAAATGCCAACAGCACCAAGCCACTGGAGACATTAAAATGCAATACAACGCAGTTAGTAACCATGCCTGTGTTATGGGGCCTAGGGGGACTATTCTCACATTTAGAGGGAGACTGGCGAAAATCCTAGGATTCAAAACAGGAGACCCGTTTGTACTTCATTATAAAAACACATATGCCCCGCACCCCGCAGACATATGCGGGGGAAAATATAACATCTTTATTTATGCAGATATCGTTGATTACCAGCTTGTGGGTGACGCCCACGCGAGGCTATTAAGAGCTATAAATATTACAGACGATGACCGCCGCTTGCCTATTCTACAATTTGACAGTCCACACTACACACCTGTGTCAAAGACATTAATCGACGACAAAGAAATTGATTTGAAAGACGATTGAAATCAACACATACACTTCCGACCGATAACCAAGCATTTTTGAAAAAAAAGGATGGCCGTCTACAACACTGATGACTCAAAATATGTAAAATACTACTTATCACAGGCTGGTGGAGAGCTCGGAGGGTATGTTGGGACCAGTAGGGGAGACCGGGGATAGTTGTAACATTTTTCACATTTCTGTCTGTAAATTGGAGCTCTTTTAAGGTAGTGGATTCAAAATGTAATGCAAAGTATTTACATGTCTCTGCTATTAAATAGTGCAGCTATTTTCTCTGCAGCACAATTACCCATTGCATGGTATGGCCTCAAACACGATGTCAAGGGTAGTGTCGTGGATGAGAGAAGGAGGACCCAAACGCTGGACTCACAGGCAGGTAGGTGAAGGTGGATGTTTATTGCCGAAGGAGTGAGCAAACAGTACAGAGGGAGGAAATGGCTGGCTGACCGAATGAACAAAGGACTGACTGACTGACTGGACATACAGACGACATTGACATCAGACATACATCATTAATGACCCGACATTGAATGGGTAGAACAGAGGGCTTAAATACACAGACTGGTGATAATGATGATAATGAGAGACCGGTGAGTACACAGCTGAACATAATGAACTAATGATAATGGGAAGAGGACTGAACATAATGCACACAGACCAAGGCTAACACAATAAAACAGGAAGTGGAACAGGCAGTAGATAAACAGTGAACATGAACTAAGAATACTGGGTCAAAGACCCAGAAACCCTGACACACGAAGAGTGAAATGTTACAATTAACCCCATAGTCTGGAGTCCACACAGAGACAGTTCAGGAGGGCGGCCACGTGGAAGGCAGCAGTGACCACTGAGCCGGTCCGGTGGGCGGCTGCGGCGGTCGAGACGAGACAGTTCAGGGGGCCGACCGTGCGGACGGCAACGGCGGCGACGTGGACACAGTTCGGGAGGCCGACCGTGCGGACGGCAACGGCGACGTGGACACAGTTCGGGAGGCCGACCGTGCGGACGGCAACGGCGACGATGACAGCGCTGGTCCGGGGGCCGGCCGTGCGGAAGGCAGCGGCGGCCGCTCAGGCGATGGCGGTCCGGGGGCCGGCCGCGCGGAAGGCAGCGGCGGCGGCTCTCCAGCGTCAGGCGTACTGGCCGAGGCCCGGTGGGCACAGGACCAGTCGAGGCGGGGCCAGGCGAAGCACAGGCTGAGGCTACAGCAGACGAAGGCTCTGAGGCTGCAGCAGACGAAGGCTCTGAGGCTGCAGCAGACGACGGCTCTGAGGCAGAGGCCGGGCCGGGCGTGGGTGCAGCTGAGGCAGAGGCCGGGCCGGGCGTGGGTGCAGCTGAGGCAGAGGCCTGACCAGGCGATGCAGGCGCGGAGGCCTCTGGCCGGAGACAGGCAGGGCCAGTAGGCGCGGAGGCCCCTGGCTGAGGAGCGGCCGGGCCAGCGGGTGCGGAAACCCCTGGCTGAGGAGCGGCCGGGCCAGCGGGTGCAG